CTCAAAATTTTCACTGCCCTACACATGTCTGCAGATGACCACAGAAGCACCTTGGAGACTGATTTGGGGTTACAAAGAAATGTTAGTGAGTAGGGGAATTCACAAATACAGAACCCAGGAGTAATGAGGATCGACTGTATACAGATCACAGCACTGACACCTCCAGTGCTGGAAAAACCATATTACAGGGGAAGGTTAGGGGAGGTTTATAACTATTTGGTCTGAAACAATTAAAAGAAGGATGAGATTATTGATGAACAGGGAGAATTTCTACATACAGGAAATCTGCTGACTGTTTCACTGTCTTCTGGATCAGACCAGAGATAAGGGGCAAAAATTGTGGCCAGAAAAGTTCTGGCTAGAAATGAGGATGCACTTTCACACTGTGAAAGGTACTAACGATAGGCAGGTTATTGAAGGAGCTGGGAGCATCTGTTTTCCCTTCAAAATCTTAACATCAGGAAAGAAACTTTGAAATGGAATGGCTGAAAGAAAAAGTTTCCAAAGATCCCAAACAATACTAAAATTTATAAGGAGTTTTTGATAGGAGTTTTAATGCTATCTTCCCAGTATTCTGGGGGAATATAATAAACTTCTATTAGCTATAGAAGTTATTATATTATAATAAACTTCTATTAATAAAGTTCTGATGGTGATTATTTAGACTTGAAGTTTGGATGAAATGGTAAAGCAAGTGTCAGCTTCTCTCTTTTTGTTTGTTTTGAGAGAGTGAGTGGGTAAGGGGAAAAGGGAGAGAATCTTAAGCAAGTTCTACCCTTAGTGTGGAGCCTGATGCAGGGCTTGATCCCATGACCCTGGGATCATGACCTGAGCCAAAACTAAGAGTTGGACACCCAGTCAACCAAGCCACCCAGGGGCCCCCTTGTTTGGGCTTTTCAAGTTTTTAGCCTCTACTACAAAGCTGTAATCATCAAGACAGCATGGTATTGGCACAAAAAACAGACACATAGACCAATGGAATAGAATAGAGACTCCAGAATTGGACCCACAAATGTATGGCCAACTAATCTTTGACAAAGCAGGAAAGAACATCCAATGGAAAAAAGACAGTCTCTTTAACAAATGGTGCTGGGAGAACTGGACAGCAACATGCAGAAGAATGAAACTAGACCACTTTCTTACACCATTCACAAAAAT